GTATATATATATATATATATATATATATATATGTACTCCAATATACAGGTGCACATTTCTCTGTACAGTTAAATAAGTGATCAATACAGAAGATAGTAACAGTCGACCTTGAAGAAATATTTTCTTACAAGTTGTTCATATTCATGGAGTATGTGTGCCCAACATAGGTCTTTACTAGTGTGTATAAAATGATATAAATAAATAATCTAGCGAATTCTGCTAAGTTAAAAATAGATAGACCCGAAGATTTACTTACGCAGTCGACTCCATTCCACTTCGAAACAGGAGACATAGTTGACCGATCTCTTCTTCACAATCCTAAAAGTGGAAAAAAATGGTCACCCAGAGGACGATTGAAAGGACTGCATACCCCCGTAACCTTTCCAGAACGGTCCAACTAAAAGGCACAAGCAATAGTACTTCATTTATCCCGTCCTCTATTTTTGTAAGGAAAAGATAGCAAAGATACCCAAAGATGTAAATGGCCAATCCAACTGATCGATTCTGGTCAGAAATACGAAAGGCTATTTCTCGAAGGAGCGTGTTCAAGATACTGTTCCTCTATGCAAATCAAGTGCCTATTGGGCAGTTTCTTTCACTCTCAAACAACACAAAGGATGCTCCAAGATGATTATTGCACAAAAGTTAGATGGCAATGTACTCCAATTGATGCTGTTAAAAGAGGAAGCCATTTTGCTGATAAAGTTTAGCACACACAGGGACGAGACGTCTATGACAATTATCAGCACGTGATACTGTGTCAAAGTAGGGAAGGGTGATGGGGGGAGACAATTTTGTAGACTTGAAAGGGGGAAATATAATTGATCCTTCCATAAGCATGGCAATATTCGAATTGTTCCACTTTAACTTGCACTAAAATGTACAACAGTCTAGGACACTATTAAGTAAAAAGAAAATATCTAAAAGACAAAGGAGCTGGTATATAGGCATCAAATAGTCCAAAATGAGACAACAGAATGCTGAGACAAAAAGATGAAGGCGTTTGATTGTTGAATTATGGTCGGGCAATTAATGGGCGTTAATAAATGGGCGATTAACTTTCGAGAACCCGGATATTATTATTTCCCTTCCGGGTTGTTAAGTTAATTCTCAGCCACGATGACAAATGGAACAATTTAGAAGGCCGGGAAAAGTGTTCTTAAATACTTATTTATTTAACTCAAATGGCAGGCGTTTGGATAGTTATCATTAGCCCTTTAGTTGACTTCGGGCTTCACAGAGAGGAAGGAACATCAAAGTGGAAGAAAGTCGAGAGGAGGGGCACTGAAGAGTGTTTCAAAGACGAAGGTAGAAAAAAGGTGAGATGAGTACTGTGAAAGGGGTCGAATATGGCATACAGTGGGGTCATGGCGGTTTTAACTCAGAAGTCAACTGCCGATTTATAGACTTTTTTGCCGTATGAATATACGTTGACCAGGGTGCAAAACGTGGAGGTAAGTCTATCGCACTCCCCGTGTTCTTAAATATAAAAATATATCTAACATAGCCCCCAAGTGAAACGGATTAAATGAGATGAAGGCTATCAACAAAGGGAGTGAGTGTGAGCAGAGGGAAGGAAGGAATAAATTCTCCGCCAGACGACGTAGAGGGGGGGGGGTGAGGTGGAGGGGGAGGGGAGAGAAGGATAATTGTCTGTAGACAAAACAGATGTAAAATTAAATTATTTAGAAATAAAGGTACAACGAGTTTGTGCGCAGACACAATGGAGGAAACAACATTACTTATGAGCGGTAGATTTAATTTTAACGCTAAGAGGAAAATGCCCAACCCCAAAGCAGACAGAGAACACATAAAGCAGGTACGCTACATATTCCTTTGCTTACATTTGGCTTTGAAAGATTTAAATCAGTATGTGATGTGACAAAACTAGGACGGCCCGCATACTTGGATAAAGATTTATTAAAGCAGCTGATCGAATTAGATCCCAGATCAACTATGGAACTCTCCAAGTATAACAAAGCTAAGTGCATTCCTTTGTTGTCTTGACGACAAAGGATCCGTCCCTGTGTACGCTAAATTGTTACTGGGGTCGAGAAATGGGACATTTGCTTAGTGGGAGAAAAACGTGGAGTATCTCCACCAACGCCACTCTCTAGACCAAGATGTACGTGGGATAATTCATTACGAACTAATTAAACCGAACGCAACAGAAATAAAAAAGCCATACGTCCAAGTTTAATAGAATGAGCTCCCAAAAAACTGGAAACTAGATCGGGAGGTTCTATCACATCCTTCATTCACCCAAGACCACGACGCATTCGATTATTACCTTTTCTGGGACATAGAGCATATATATGTAGAGAAAAACTAATTCGAAAGCTCCACGAACGAGTGTTTCAATTCGAAAACAGCATTTCTTCGCTATACTGGGTATACCAAAATTGGGTGAATTTCGAGAGCAAAAGTTAAACTACTAAAAAAAGGCATAAAGTTCGTACCAGATAAGGAATTTTTAAAATGCTGAGGCAACATCAATGCGATGGAGCACAGCAGCTAGTGATGTCAACGATGGAGGTAAATTTGCAAGTTTTAATAGGTCCAAAGTGATTTTTATCCAAACAGTGAAATTCTGCCCGTCCACCCGATTATGGCAATTATCTACAGCTCGTAAACAAAATTAAATAGGCCAAAGTATAACACATAACTGCAGAAGAGGTCTAAGGTTGCTGTAATTGGAATGACCATGACTACATGATAATAACTACGTTTTTCAGTCTTTATATTCAAGGGCGGGGAGGAGGGGGGGGGGTGTGTGATAGACTTACCTCCACGTGGTGCACCCTGGGCAACGTTTACTCATACGGCAAAAAAGTCTATTATTCGGCAGTTGACTTCTCACTTCAAACTACCATGACCCAATTCCACTACATATTCCACCACTTCAACAGTATTCGTCTTACCTTTTCTCTGCCTTTATGTTTCTCTGTCTCTTTACATCTGTGAAACACTCTTCTGTTCCTCCTATTGACTTTTTCTCATTTTGATGTTCTTCCCCTTTGTGAAGCCCGAAGCCAACTAAAGTGTTAATGATAACTATCATAAAGCCTGTCATTTGAAATAAATAAATAAATATTCAAGGGAGGAAAAACTATAATGATGCCAATTGAATTGAGAACCTTCCTCACAGTTCCAACACGTCAAGAACAACTCACCTAAGTGGCTCCATAATCCCCACAAACGACTCAGCATTAGACGACCGAATAATCCAAAGAGCTAACAACGGAGTGAATTGAGCCAGAGCATAAGAGGGTTGCCAATCGAGAAAGTTAATGCAAAATTCGACGGCCTGACGCACATTAGGCCGAGTCCATTGGAGACTTTTTGACGTTGGCATCTGCCATCCACGCTCCTTCCAAGGCATTAAGAACTCTTCCACAATCTAGAAACGAGAGGAAGTAGCTAAGTGTTATCCGATGAAGAGCAAGCTACTTAAGTTACAAATTTAATGTGACGTACATGAGTCACCGGGCATTCAGTAAGTCCTCTGATAATTTTGCGCCATATGGGACTACTCCATATTTTATCAGCATCACTGCTGGAAGAGCAGGTATCACTGCCATTGGAAAGGCGATCTAGAGCTTCGTTGATGTCTACTTGAGCCAGAGCACGACCAGCTGAGACAGGGCCTACACCAGGTACCCCTTGGGGCCAGTAATCACACCCAAGTACGAGGCTCAATAAAACGAGGGATTTTCGACAGAGACCAACGCGAGTGTTAACGTGTTCACTGAAATAGGCTTCCACTGAGGCATCCTGCAGGAAGTGAACAAAGGTAGGAGAATTAAAATTGAACTTATTTTAAACAGATCATAGAGCTAGAGGTGCATCCACGATGATCAGGAATCTGTGAGGAACCCTGAACGAAACCGATAACATCATGTAATGTTGTCGGGATGTGTTTTCTCTAGGGTCTCCCGGATCTTTTCTGCATAGTTAAAAATACGCTACAATCATTATTCCACGATTAAGTGGTTTAGTTAAGTTCCATTTAAGCTAACTGTGATTCTTTTTCAGGTATATCTGCCTCAAGCTATGATAAAAGAGCTTTTACCTTTAGTGATTGAAATGACTTATGATAATTGGAGTTGGGTATTCTTCCCTTAAGAGGTTTAGATTACAACCTAGTGACCAAAAATGGCCAATGTAAAACCTCTAAGATTCGATACATATAAATATAAAATGTTGCCAAAATAGATTAATATTATCGGAGTAAATAATATCGAAAATGGCTAAATTGAAATATGGAGAAAGGTGCTAGATAATCACTTAAGTAAAGGAACTTTCATTTAGGAGTAAATAAATAGGGTGCAAATGAAGAGTACATTCAGCAACTCAACCCCATGGAATAGCTAAGCAATAGCTTGTTTAAATAGTACACAAGCTAAGCATCATGTAAGGCATTTATTTAAACAAACTGCTTACCCTAGAGTTGAGAGAAAAGTGACGATAGACTACTTTGGCACCATAGAGAAAAACATCACCGTCATTTGTCACGCATCCGTCAACCAACTACATTGTGAAATATATATGGTGGTAAGTTCAACGTCCAACATTCGTTTAAGCAATTCGCTTACATTTTCCATGTCCAAAAAAGCACACATGGCCTCAGCTTCGCCGGGAGAAGCTATGCAAGGAATACCAAGAGCGCGCAGGAGTTGAACGCACTGCAATGAAGTGTAGTAAGCAATATACTGAAATAAATGGGACACTGCAAGCATTTATTTTAGTTTAAGATGAAGCAACAAACGTAAAAATGTGCACACAATTAATCACAAAGTAAAGACAAAGCTACCAACGAATACAGTGATCAAGGCAATCGCAGAAACAAGAAAGGTTTCTATTCACCAAGCCAATGGGATATTAGCAAAAACTAGTACTACTGTTAGTAGAGAAGAGCATTTAAAGCGGCAGAACCTCTTATAAGACGAGAGTAACAGTAACACCAAGGTGACTGCTTAAGTAGACAAGAGAATAATTAAAAACTGTTAAAGAAAGATTAATTACTACACTTAAGATGAAATTAATGAAGAACTGAATAATACCAGCTTCTTCATTACGTAATGTGAACATTTCTCTACTTTTGTGCAACATAAAACAATAAATCTAAATTCATATTGCATATTCAGAGTTTTAATTCAAAGTTTAACTTAATTCCGTGCAAATTTCTCACAAATAAGAGTATATATATGCAAAAAAAGCCCAAGAATACCTGTGCTGATATACGGGAAAACTGGGCACGTTTAAGAGAAATCGATTTTGTTGGATCATTAGAACTATTTAGTCTAAAAAGTAAAGTAATACCAATCTGTTAGATATTATTTAAAGTGACAAGAGCCAATATAAGGATTCGCTAATGTTGTACCTTGAGAACTGACGTCGACATTGCATAGCTTGGGCTTTGATGACGGGAGCTGTTCCATCAGTAACTGCTATGGGGAGAATTGACTCGCGGAGGAGAGCTATAAGGCGGAATACAAGGTTCCTAAAATGTTATTCATATAATAGTCAGTAATTATATAAAGTGGGTAGAAATTTCAACTGTTTTTACGAATATTACCGAAGATAGAGCTTACAACCCGTTTGAACACGTTGATTGACGCACATATCACCGCAAACCCACCCACTGAGATCGACTGCAAGCTTTTTTCCACCGAGACCACGAAGAGGAATATGCTCTTGAATGGGATTCAGGATGGCCCATAACCCATGAACTCCCATGGTCAACCAAACTACAAGATCGAGGGCAAGATAAAAATTGCATCAGGTCATCATGTAGTTGAAGGTGTGGCATATCAAACTTATTATTCCGTCAAATACAAAAAAAATATAAGAAATATAACGGTAAACAATGCCCAGATTTCGGCAAGGCAGCAAAAACCATTCGGATTCGTGCTTACTTCGACCTTGACTTCAAATTCAGTGATTATTTTGAATTAAAATATTTTCTGTTAAATCCAAATACTAATTTTATGGTGATCTAATATTGTCCATAAAACGTATGAAGATATTTAAATTTCGTAATTCAGGTGAATATTTAAGCGCAGAAATTACTTATTCGTAATTAAAAGAAAAAATGAGAGTATTATAACAAAGTCATACGAGTCAATTAATTTCAAATTAAAACGATTAAAAAGCACACTATTTGAAGTCGGAAAAAACGGCTTAACTAGAAGATGTCACAAAATAAATGAAGTGATTGTAGTTTGATAAAACACTCAGACGTTCTGTCTCCGAAACTATATGTTACTGATAAAGCACATTCGACGCAAGACAAAGCAACACTATTTATTTGTTTATTTCAAATGGCAGGCTTTATGATATTTGTCATTAGCCCTTAAACTTTGACTTCAACTTTCCCCATGGGTGGAGGATATATATATATAGCAGTTCATTAGCTGTCTTCTTGCTTCCCAGTATCCCTGGCTTTCCGTCGTTGTCTTTAGGGCTGGTCACTGAATCAGGTGGGTCTTCTCCATTTCCTCATGTAGGTTACATGAAGGTGACATGTGGGTTGAGTGTATACTCCCAATCTGTGAAGGTGTTTTGCCAAGCAATCGTGTCCGATACGCAGTCTGAACTCAGCAACGGCTTCGATTCTTGGCCAGTCGGCTATGTCGGAGAGTGCCACTGTCCACTGTTTCTCATTTGTTCGAGCTTTGAGTTCGTTGCACCTTGAGGTCTGGAATTCTCTCCTGATTAAGGCCTTCATTGTGTGGAAAGACATCGGGCGGTCCATGCATTGCAAAATCGTTGTCCCCTTCTTAGCAAGTGTGTCAGCAAGCTCATTGCCTTTAATGCCACAGTGACCAGGAATCCATTGTAGGACCACTGTTTTGTTTTTCTCTCTTAGCAACTGATAGAGTTTTCTACATTCGTATATCTCACCTACTTTGGGTGACTCTCTGCTTCAAACTGAGTTTATTGTTGACTGTGACACCGAAAGGATTGCTGCTTTGGTGAATTTTGTATCCAGTCAACATAATTGGCCTAGTGCTATCTTAATGGCTTCTATTTCTCCTTCTAAAGCGGAACTATTGTGTCCCACTGCTGCGTAGAAAGAGAAGAAATCAGAGTAGACACCTGCACCAATGTTTGTTTGATTTTCTATTTAAGACCCATCAGTGAAGACTTGGAGCCATTGATCTGCAGGATCATCTCCAGTATAGTTAACATTGATTGTCTCAAGGGCCAGTAAGTTTTGTTCGAGGGGTGTTTGATTTCCTGAAGAAGTCAAGCAGTTGGGTGAGATGTTTGATTTCCTGAAGAAGTCGAGCAGTTGGGTGCGATTTCCTGAAGAAGTCGAGCAGTTGGGTGCAACACACTACATCCTGAAGAAGTCGAGCAGTTGGGTGCGTGAGGGGAGCGCATTTGCTCTGGAGGAGTGTTTGATTTCCTGAAGACACACTACATCAACTGAGGGGAGTTTTGTTCGAGGGGTGTTTGATTTCCTGAAGAAGTCAAGCAGTTGGGTGAGTCCTGAAGAAGTCGAGCAGTTGGGTGCACCACACTACATCAATGTCTGCTAATGGGTTCATGGGAAGAGGACACTACATCAATGTCTGCTAATGGGTTCATGGGGAGAGAATGAGTTCCTGAAGAAGTCGAGCAGTTGGGTGCAACACACTACATCCTGAAGAAGTCGAGCAGTTGGGTGCGCGCAGTTGGGTGCGACACACTACATCAATGTCTGCTAAGGTCAAGCAGTTGGGTGCAACACACTGCATCAGTGTCTGTCAATAGGTTCATGGCAACACACTACATCAGTGTCTGCTAATGGGTTCATGGGTGAGATGTTTGATTTCCTGAAGAAGTCGAGCAGTTGGTGGGTGCAACACACTACATCAGTGTCTGCTAATGGGTTCATGGGGAGAGAGAGAGGCTTTTTTGGTTTGTCATCGATTTGTAATTCTTTTTTCAGTTCTATGGCTTTTTGTACTAGACCAGATTACGTTTTTAGATGTCTTGGTCTATTCTCATATGTGTTGGGGTGTGCGATAGACTTACCTCCACGTGGTGCACCCTGGGCAACGTATACACATACGGCAAAAAAGTCTATTAACTGGCAGTTGACTTCTCACTTCAAACTACCACCACTTCACTCTATGACATATTCGACTAT